AGGACACCTAGGCTTGGTTTTGTAGTCTAGCTATTGTGAATTGTGCTGCATGTATCACTGTAGTATGGTGACTTTAATTCTTCAGGATAAATACCAAGGAGTGGTATAGCTGGGTCTCATGGTTGCTCTTTTGAGGAACCACCATACTGATTTCCATAGTTGTTGTATTAATTTATAATCTCACCAACAGTGTCAAAGTGTCCCAGTGTCCCCACATCCTCCCTAGCATTTATTATTGTTTGTGTTATTGATAACTGCTATTCTGACTTGTGTGTTGTAAAATCTCAGTGTTGTTTTAATTTGCACTTTCCTAACTGCTAATGATGTTGAACGTTTTTAAATTTGTTTGTTGGCCATTTGTATTTCTCCTTTAGAGAAGTGTCTGTTTAATTCTTTTTGCCCATTTATTCATTGGGTTATTTGATTTTTTTTTGGTGTAAATATTGTGAGTTCTTTATGTATTCTAGATATTAATCCTGTATCAGAAGAGTAACAAAGATTTTCTCCCATTCTGTATGATCTCCCTTCACATTCTTATTTGTCTCCTTTGCTGTGTAGAGGCTTTTTAATTTGATGGCATCTAATTTATTAACACTTGGCATTATTTCTTGAGGGGTCCTATTGAAGAAGTTGCTGTCTGTGCCTTTATGCTGGGGTGTTGACCCTACATTTTCTTCTAGGAGTTGCATAGTTTCTAGTCTAATTCCTAGGTCTTTGCTTTTTTTTTTTTTTTTTGGTATTTTGCTACTGAGGATTGAACCTAGGGGTGCTTAACCATGGAGCCACATCGTAACCCCCCCCCACCTTTTTTTTTTTTTTTTTTAAATTTTGAGACAGGGTCTTGCTAAGTTCCTAAGGGCCTTGCTGAACTGCTGAGGCTAGATTTTAACTTGTGATCCTCCTGCCTCAGGTTCCTGAGTGCTGGGTACTGGGATTGTAGGTGTGCACCACCACATCTAGCCTTAGATTCATTTTGAGTTGATTTTTGTGGAGGGTGAGAGATAAGTGTCTAGTGTCATTCTTCTACTTGTGGATAACCAGTTGTCCCAGCACCATTTATTAAAAAGTCTGTCTTTTCTCCAGTGTATGTTTTTGGCACCTTTGTCAAGGATCAGATGACTATAGATGTGTGGGCTTGTCTCTGTGTCTTCGATTCTGTACCATTGGTTTATGTGTCTTTTTTTTTTTTTTTGCCAGTACCATGCAGGTTTTGTTACTATAGCTCTGTAGTGTAATTTGAAGTCAGGTATTGTGATGCTGTCAACATTGCTTTTTTGGCTTAAAGTTGCTTTGGCTCTTGTGGGCCTTTTATTTTTCTTTCACATGAACTTTAGGACTGTTTTTTTCTATTTTTGTGAAGAATATCATTGGTATTTGATGGGGATTGCATTGAATTTGTATATTGCTTTTGGTAGTATGGCCATTTTCATAATATTCTGCCTATCCGTGAACATGAGAGGTCTTCCATCTTCTGAGGTCTTATTCAATTTCTTTCTTAAATGTTCTGTAGTTTTCATTGCAGAGATCTGTCACCTCTTTGCTTAGTGTTATTCCTAGGTATTTGTTTTTTAGTCTATTGTGATTTGAATTGTTTTCCTGATTTCTTTCTCAGCAGATTCATTGTTGGTATATAGGAAAGTATTGCTTTTTGTATATTGATTTTTGTAACCTGCTACTTCACCAAATTTGTTTATTAACTCCTTTTGAAGAATTTTTTGGATCTTTTATGTATAGAACCATATCCTGTGCAAACAGTGATAATTTTACTTCTTCCTTTCCTATTTTTATCCCTTTTTTTCCCAATTTTTTTAATCCCTTTATTTCCTTCTTGCCTAATTTCTCTGGTTAGAATTTCTAGCACTATATTAAATAGGAGTGGTAAGAGTGGACATCCTTGTCTTGTCCTAGATTTTAAAGGAAATGCTTTCAGTTTTGCCCTATTTACTATAAGGTTGGCTTTGGTTTTTCATCTATAGCCTTTATGATGTTGAGGTAGGTTCTGCCTGTCCCTAGTTTCTTCAGTGTTTTTATCATGAATGGGTGCTAAATTTTGTCAAAGGCCTTCTCTGCATCTGTTGAGATAACCAACTGATTTTTGTCCTTAATTCTATTTACTTGATAAATTACATTTATTTGTATATATTAAACAATCCTTGCATCTGTGGAATAAAACCAACTTGGTCATAGTGTTAATATGTTAATGCAACTGATTTTTGGTTGTTTGTATGATTTCCTACAATTTTGCTGAACTTGTTTAGTTTTTTTTTTTTTTCCTGTTGGGATTGTCAGGGGTTTTTATATATATTTGTGAAAAAGATAATTTTTTATGTACACTTGTGAAAGAGATAATTTTAATTTTCTTTTTTTTTGGCGGGGGTTGTTTTTTGTTTCTTTTTCTTACCAGATTTTTCTGTCCAGGACTTCTAGTACTATGTTGAATACAAGTAGAGAGAGCTGACAACCTTTGTATCTGATGTTAGAGGGAAAGCTTTCAAAAGGTTTTGTATGACTTAGTGTGATGTTGACTGAGCTTTTTGCATATAGTCATTACTATATTGTATTTTATCCTGAAAGTGTTGAATTTTGTCTACTGTTTTTTTCTGCATCAATTAAAATGTTTGTGGTATTTGTCCTTCATTCTGTTACTATAGCATATTTATCTTTTGATTTTCATATATCAAACCATTCTTGCATTCCAGGAATAAATTTCACTTGATTATGATATATAATTCTTTACTTGTTATTTAATTGGGTTTGCTGTTATTTTGTTGAGGATTTATGCACCAGTGTTCATGAGGGATATTGGCCTATGGTTTTGTTTTCTTGTAGTGTCTTTGTCTGATTCAGGGTACTGTTTGCTTCATAAAATATGTATATAAGTTTTCCATCCTTTTCACTTATTTTGAAGAGTTTGAAAAGAGTTGGTATTAATTCTTCTTTAAATTTTTGGCAGAATTCTGTAGTGAAGCAGTCCTTTCCTAGACTTTTCTTTGCTGGGAGGTTTTTGATTAGTTGATGCAATGTCATTCCTCTTATCGGTCTGTTCGTTTTTTTTTTTTTTTTTTTAATCTCTTCTTGGTTCAGTCTTCATAGTATGTCAGTTTCATATTACTATAATGAAATGCCTGAGATTATCAACTTATAAAGAGAAAAGCTTTATTTAGTTCATTGTTTTGGAGTTTCCAGTCTAAGATCTGGCAGCTAAATTGTTTTGGGCCAGACAGCAACAATGGGGAGTGAGGTGACAGTGAACTGCTAACATTACCAGTTAGGAAGCGGAGCAAGAGAAGAATACCAAGCGCCCGTGATCCCCTCTAAGGACATATCACCAATGACCTCTGGGCCTGCCACAAGGCCTCACCTCCTCAAGGTTCTACCACCTTCCAAAAGCAGTGCCGTGGGGGACCAGGCCTTCAACACCCAGACTTTTTCGGGGACACTCATCCAAACAATAGCAGTAGACTGTATTTCTAGGAATTTATCTATTTCTTTTAGGTTATGCAGTGTTTTTTGGTGTATAATTGTTCATAGTAATCTCATTTATGTTCTTTCTATTTCTATATTATTAGTTGTAATATCTCCTCTTTTATTTCTGATTTTTGTTAATTGAGTCTTTTGTTTTCTCAGTTAATCTAGTTAAAGGTTGATTGAGTTAGTTGGTCTTTCACCAAGTCAGCTTTTTTGTTTTGTTGATTTTTTTTTCCTGTTTTTTGAATCTTTGTTTCTTTTATGATTTGCCTCCTTTGCTAACTTTAAGCTTAGTTGTTCTTTTTCTATTTCCTTGTGGTATAGATAAAAAGTCATGAGCTGGTGCTTTTTCTCAATCATGGTGAGCTGTGTCAGTTTCTGGTGAGGGTATGAAAGTTTTCTGGTGCTGCCACAAACCTCTACATTCTCTTTTGTTCTCAGTGGCCCCCAGACATCCAAAGTGTGCTGGTTCTCCATCTGCATGTGGAGTCAGGTGAGACAGAAACCAGTCCCTTGGACAGCTCCTGAAGAGCCAGAGTGTTGAAAATATGTTCCACTCTTTTCTTTCACTCTCAGGGGAGAAGGCTTGTGTTTTCTTTTGTGATCGCAAGCTGAGTATGTTATAGAAACAGTAGATCCTAGAATAGAACCCTGAGATTAGTCTTTAAATTTAATAAAAAGTCATGTTCTTCTTTTCTGAGTGTAAAACTGTTTATTATAAATATTTTTTTGAAAATACTTTAAAAATAACATCTTTTTATATTTTCTCTCCTTTGTGTCAAACACTATGTTAAAAAACAGTTGAGAATATACTCTAGGATTTTATCTTTTTTTACATAACTCTGTGTGTGTGTACATATATATCTCCCACCATTGATCAGTATTTTCCTATGTGATTTGATAATATTTAGTAATGGAATTTTACCATTTCCCTGTTTTGCATGGATTAGCAAATCTACTAGATAATTTGCTTTAAGATTTGTTTGATTGGTTTTAGAGGACTTTGTATTTATATCTTCACTTTTTACATTGTTCAAGATAATAGCCAGAGATATTCCTTTTCTTTCAAGGTGTTTAGCTTTCTTTTTTATGAGTTATAGTAGAGCTAAAGCTCAGAAAACCTACAACTTTTTCCTTATACTTTCTCTTTCAAATATCAATCCCTTACACATTATTTTCTGATGTTTCTACTTTACTACTTTAATGTCTCTTTAGTTCTTAAGAAAAATATGTAGGTTGTATTTAATATTTTATTTTTTTATGTATTTTCCTGTAAGTTTTTGTGTGTATTTTTAATCTTTTTTTCCTTCTCAGGCAAGTCATCATCTTTGTCTTCCTTTTACTTCTCCATGGTTTCATTTAAGTGTTTATAAGGACACTGTGTGGGAGATGAGATAAATTCTAAGGAAATTTTAAAATGAGAGTAGGAAATAGTAGATGTTTAAGTCTAATAGTGTGTACAGATAATTTTAAAAATTTTATTGATGAATCCAAAATAAAATCTAAATATTTTGGCTATTTCCCCTTGTCAGGGTCCTGTATTAATAGGAAGTTCACAAGGTGGTGTTAACATTGAAGATGTTGCTGCTGAGACTCCTGATGCCATAGTTAAAGAACCTGTTGATATTATAGAAGGCATCAAAAAGGAACAAGCTGTTCGGGTATGTTATATTCTGAAAAATGTTTAGTTTGTAGCTGGATAAATGTAAGTAAAGATAATCAACTTTCTGTAAATGAAATAATTGTCAAACCTCAGTTGTCAGGATAAGTATATTGAAATTGCAATTTTTAGAAGTATCCACAATATTTTTCTTTATATCCTCCATAAATATTTCAGTTTATATCATGAAATTATAAGGATTCCTTTAAAAGTGTCACTATACCATTACCGTGTCTCGTAACATTAACAATAATTCCTTAATATCGTTGCTTATCCTGCCATTCAGTTTTTCCTAATTGTCTCAGATTATTGCTTCTTATATAGTTTGAGTCAGGATTCATATAAGTCTTCCATTGCTATTGGCTAATATGTCTTGTAGGTCTTTTCCAAATTTATAGGTTTCCCTTTTCCCACTCTTTCCATCCTTTTTCCATTTAATTGTTGAAGAAACTGAGGTGATTATCATTCATCATTTATAGACTTTTGAGCTTTACATTCCCAGTATGCCATTTTAAATGTTCCTGTGTCCCCTTTATTTCCTGTAAATTGTACAGAATGGTAGGAAGACTCTTTCATATATCTTTGTGAGAGATCAGTGGTTTTATTTTGGGGGTGTTATGGATATTATTAAGAATTTCATGAAGTCTATGGATTTTCTTTCAGGGTATCCACATATACAATAAATTTTTGCTTATAATTTTACTATTTTTCTGTATTGTCCTCCTCTAGCCCCTCTCAAAAATCATGATAATATTTTAATTCTGCTATTGAATTAAATTATTCAGTTTGATTATAAAAATAAGTGACTAATCATAAAAGTTTGAATATTAAACTTTGAATGAAATTAGCCTCTGTTAGAAAACAATGTCAGAATAAGTTTATGGTATTGAAGTACAGCAAGAGCAAGAATTTTGACTGGCACAAGATTTAAAGGAGATAGTGATATTTTCCTGATGAATAGTGAAGCCAATAATTTAGGCAAATGAATGGTATAAATGTTTGAAAGGGACAGAGATTTGACTCATTAGGTAGTTGTATGAGAGTATACCTGCAGAGGAAGATTTATATGAGGAAGAAAATACTTGATTTACAAGAATACTTGAAAGAATAATCTAGTGAGATTATATATCATCTTGACTAATGAGCAGAAATGATGCCTAGCACAGTGTTTGCAAATTAATGTCATAATGATTTATCAGAATTATGTTGCAATTTTCAAATATTTAAACCTATGAAAGTAATAAGTCACAACCTTGCAATGAAATGGCATTTTATTTTTTATTATTCTTTATTCAAAATATCTTAACCAAAAATTATATTTTTTTGCTTGGTCAGCCAGTTATTTATTGGCATTTGACTCTTTGCAAAAATCATACTTACCCTCATAGTTTCATATTTTCTGTTACTGAAAGTCAAAAGAATGTGTTGTAGGCTTAAGTAGCAGTTGAAAATGAGGAAGGAATTCTCAGTGGTGTTCTTGAGCAGTGATGGCACCATTAGGATAAACATACAGATACATATTCTCTGTAGCAGTGTTTCAAAATTGCTTGTGGAACTTTAAAGTGATAGATGCTTGGTCTGCTGTAGAATTTGTGAACCAGAACTTATGGGTTGGGATACTGATATTTTGTTTAAAAAGCTCTATAATATGGTGGAAGGAGTTAGACATCATTATCCTAAGTATATGTATGAAGACTCGAATGGTGTGAAAATACTTTATGTATAATCAGTGTCTAATACTCTAATTAGAAATCTCTGCTCAAGAGATTTGAGGTTAAATGGTTAAATTCCTGTATCTTTTGGTTTTTGGCACAGTGCCTGGCATATGTTAGGTATTCAGTAGATTTTTAAATGAACAGGATAATATTCATTTGACTGTATGTGTCCTAAATTACCTAAAAGGGGAAATAGAGTGTTTTAATATTTTGTCTATTGTTAGAACCATTGGGATTGTCAAATAATTCTTTATTTGTATTTTAATAAAATATAAGCCTCTCTTTTGAGTTTAGGTTGGCCATTAGGCTTAGTGGCAGTATGGAGGCTATGGAAACAAATTGTAGTCTAGGTGAATGGCAAGTCACTTGACTTTTCATTTATCATTTGTGAAATGAGCGTAATACCTGCCTTGTCAGGACTTTAAAGTATTAAGTTTTGTTTAACCATGTAGTGATAGAAGCTGCAATTCCAGTGATTAATGTTTGACTATGAGTGACTCATGCTTATTTTTTTTAAATGATAAATTACAAGGTTTTTTATTTATAGTATTTTAATGCTGACTGAGCATATACAGAGTACTTAAAATAAAAAAGACAAATTGCTTTCAGCTTGCACAGAAGATGGGATTTCCACCTAATGTTGTGGATTCTGCAGCAGAAAACATGGTCAAGCTTTATAATCTGTTTCTGAAATACGATGCAACTATGGTAGAAATAAATCCAATGGTAGAAGATTCAGATGGCGCTGGTAAAGTATCTTCTTTTATCAAACATTGATTATGCATTTATGTCTCTGTCACATGCTTCACTAAGGAAGTTGAACTCATAAGGAAGTAAACTCATTCCTATGTAGAAGCTTATTTTATAATGAATTGAAAGTGAATAAATCTAAGAGAAACCCATTAAAATAAACACTGTATACACACACACAGATCAGAGTTCTTTGTTTAATATGTTAACCATCATCCACATGTGGCTATTTTAATTAAAATTATATAAGATTTAAAAATTCACTTTCTTAGTCACACTAGTCATATTTGAAGTGTTCAGTAACTAAACTGGGTAGCATATATAGAGAACATTTCCATCATTGCAGAAAGTTTTATTAGGCAACGCTGGGTTAGAATATTAAGTGTGGTGGTAGTAAATAGCTTTAGTTTGCGGGAATTAGCCATCTGGGTCTCCGTGAGATTTATACTTCAGAGATGATGGATCTTTGCTGTTCAAAAGGATATGTTCAGATGCTGGAGTAGTATTTTTAGCTACTAGAGAAATAAGATTAGCTTGTCACTTTGATGGCTTTTCTCTTGCATATGCTTAAAAGGTAAATCAGATTTGAATCATCATCCCTTCCATGTGTAGTTTTTTTTTTGAATATGTTGCTCTATTCTAAATTTTTCTTATTATTTTATATTATTTGTTTCTGCTTTAATTTATTGTTCATTTCATGTTTCTTTGGGCAATTCTAATCTTCTTAAGCATTTGTAGCCTGTTTTTCACTTTTATATTTCTAATAAGTTCTGTTCTTTATCAAAGAAATCAACTTTCAGTTGGTCATAATATGATAGTATAAATAATGAGTAAATTCTGTTGTGATAATATAGTCTATAAAACTGAACATAATTAAACTTTTTGAAGAGTGTGGTATAAGACACATTCTAAAAATGCATTCAGTGAAGAATTACCTGTGTAAAACACATTTCTTACCATTTTCCTGATTATGTAACTTTAGAGAGACCAATTAACATTGAAAGCAAGCCCACTGAATACTTTACAACTGTGAAATTCAGTAGTCACATAAGGAATGTTTTTGTCCTCTTAATAACTATTTTTTCCATGTATCCAGGTTTTTTCCTTTTTCTAGTACACATTTATATATGTTAAGAGGTAATTTTTTCCCTAATACAGGAATATGTTTATTATAGAAAATTTTCAAAATGCAGATATAGGTATAAAGAAATATAGGTATTAAAAAAACCCTTATTTTTTTTAAAGAGAGAGAGAGAGAGAGAGAGAGAGAGAGAGAGAATTTTTTAATATTTATTTTTTAGTTTTCCGCAGACCCAACACCTTTGTTGGTATATGGTGCTGAGGATAGAACCCAGGCCACACGCATGCCAGGCAAGCGCGCTACCGCTTGAGCCACATCCCCAGCCCTAAAAAAACCCTTATAATTATAGTATCCAGTACCCTTTAAAGATGCATGTAATTAATTTCATCTTTTTCTGTAATTGGAATCATACTATCTGTTCAGTTTGTAGTCTTCACCTTTTTAATTTAAAACTATAAGTAGACTTGTTTTCATGTTAAATATTTTAAAAAGGTAATTTTTAAGACTTGTATTTATATGTCTTTAAATGCAACTCTGATTTTCTTTCATATAAATTCTTTTTGTAAAATATTTATTTTTTAGGTTTTTTTTTTTTAGGTGGACATAATATCTTTATTTTATTTTTATGTGGTGCTGAGATTCGAACCCAGTGCCTCACACATGCTAGGCGAGCGCGCTACCACTTGAGCCACATCCCCAGCCCCTCATATAAATTCTTAGAAGCAAGATTTTTGGATTAAAGAGTAGTTGTATTTTTAATATATGTTTAATTTTTGTGTCAGACTTATAACATTTTAGATATATTTTACCAGGTAGTTTTTTCTTCTTTCCCCTTCCCTTCGCTTGTTGTTGTAATATATACCCAGAGTGTCTGTCTTGTTGCATACTCTGCCAGACATTGAGTTTAATCTCCATCAAACTGATAATGAAGAAAGGGTGACTTGTTTGGGTGGGTTTTTGTTTGTTTGTTTGTTTGTTTAGTTCTTCGATTTTAGGATGTTGAGACTTTTTCATTGAACTCTTTTCCTTCTGTGAATTTTCTGTTGATATCCTTAGCTACATGTTTTAGTTCCCTGTGGTTGTTGTAACATGTTAGTATAAATTTAGGTCACTTAAAACAACAAATTTTTTCTCTCGCAGTTCTGGAGGCCAGAAGTCAAAACTTGGTATGACATAAATTCAAAGTATCACTGTCTGGAGGCACTAGGGAAAGAATCTGTTCCTTGCTCCTTGCAGCTTCTGGTGGCATTCCTTTGCCCTGGTCTCTTCATTTCACTCTCTGCCTCTGTCTTACAAGGATATCTGTGATGCCTTTTAGAGCCCTCTTAGATAATCCAGGGAAATCTCCTCTTCTCAAAATCCTATTTTAATCAGATCTGTAGAAATGTTGCCTTATATATAAAGTAACAATCACAGGTTCAATGATTAGGACCTGGAATCTTTGGATGGTCATTATGTAGCTTCCTATAGTAAACACACACACACACACACACACACACAAAACATGGATAGTTTTTCTCATTAATATCATGAGGTGGTTATTTCTTTTTTATTTTAATTTATTTATATGATTAAAAAATACATATAATGAATTTCTGCCCATCTTATTCCTTTACTGGGAAATTTTGTCTTTCCATCCTTATTTACTTCCATTCTCTTTGTCCACCTCCCTGCCTTTTTTTGTTTGTTTGTTTCTTGTTTATTTTTACCTAGTGTTTATTTTAGCAAGTACAGAAAAGCTTGCAAACTATACAATTTGCATCTTGCTTTATTTACCTAATGACAGATTCTGGTGATTTTCCCATGTGAATGGGCTTTTATTTATTAAGACTTATACTTGTTGTCTGGCACATGGCATGAATATTTTTTTTTCCGAGTTTGTCCTTTGTTGTTTAATATTGCTTGCTTTTTTGGGGGGGGGAGTACATATTAAACCTTTTTGTTTTGCATGTAATCAGATCTCACTTTGACTTCCATTAGTTTCTCATGCTGTTATTTTTTCCTAAGATCAGCAACTGTTCATCCTCAATGTGTGTGTTTTTGTTAAAGACTTTAACTAGATTTAAAGATTTCACTTTAGCATTACTTCTTTTTTCTAACAGCCAGCTTTTAAAATTATTGTCAAATAAAGTGTTAAACACAGTATACTTTCCCAACTGATTTTTGGTGCCCTCTCCCTTCATTTTCAAGTATTATTTCACAGATCTGATTGTTTTTGTACGGTAATTTCCTTTAGAAATTATCTTTGACAACACAGATGAACCTCTAGTACATTCTATTAAGTGAAATAAGTCAGACACAGAAAGACAGTATTGCATGATTTTACTTACATATGGAACTTTCAAAATGTTGAGCTTATAGAAAAAGAGAGGGATGGTTACCAGGGTCAGGGGATGGGGAAAATTGGGAGATGCTGGTTAAATAGTACAGACTTTTAGTTTTAAAATGAATAAATTTGGAGCCTAATGTACAGCATAATAACTATAGTTAATAATAATGCATACTCAAAATTTGCTTAGATACTAGATCTTAAGTATTCTTATCACACACAAAAATGTGTGTGTGAATTGTTGGATATATTTATTAGCTTGATTGTGGTAATCATTTCACAGTGTATACAAATATCAAAATATCATGTGTATACCTTATATATGTACAATTTTTATTTGTCAGTTATACTTCCATAAAGCTGGAAAAGATAAACCCCTATTCCCCTCAAAACCAACCCAACAAAAAAATATTTAAAGAGGGCCAGGTTTTATTTATTTTTCTAGATTTATAGGTCAATAACTTCTAGAAAAATAGATGAAAACTGCATGAAACCAAGTAATATCACCCAAGGAAAATACACCAGTATTTTCATGTGAGCTTGTACACATGCAGAAACTCTTGAAACCTGTAGTCCTATATAATTGTTTCTTGATGTGAAATTACTAATCCATTGTGTTTAGTCTTTCTGATTCTAAAACAAAATTCCTGACACTGAGTAATAATGTATAAAGAAGAGAAGTTTGCTTAGTTCATAGTTTTAAATGCTAAAAGTCCAGAACCATATCTATATGGTATTTTCTTTTAGAGACCTTTATGACGATGGTGGGAGTGCATTTATAAAAGTTCACATGGCAGGATAGGAAACCAGAGGGATTCAGGGGCCAAACTTTTTTTATTATATTTCACTTTCAGAGGTACTAACTAGTGTTCCATGAGAACTATGTTAATTAATTGTTCATCCCGTTGGAGGTCACTGCCACCAGTGACCTAACTAAATTTGATTAGACACCACCTTTTAAAGGTTCTGTCACTATCTCAGCACTACCACACTGCAGACCAAGCCTCTAGGATGTGAGCCTTTTGAAGACATATTCAAACCATATTCGAATTTTAACATTCCTATGCCTAAGTAACCTTCAAAATCCTTTGATTAGAGAGTGATGTATTGGCAGTGTTTGTATAGGAAGAGATTAAAAGTAGGGGTAAGTTGTAGCTGTAGTCTTAGTAGAAGGTCCAAAGACAGTGGAAATGGAAAAGGAAGGACTTGAACAGATGAGTCCAAACTACATTTTTTCCAGTACCTTTTTAATTTATTTTCAATTGAAACTTTAGACCAATGTAGACTATGTAATTATAAAGAGTACAGATTTGTAGATTTCTTTTATAAGATACATGTTTGATTTCAAAAGTAATAATTAAAAATTTAGATATTTGTCTCCTTTTGTACTGTTGCCATATGACAAGATTAAATATAAATTTGAAGGACATTTTCATAATCTTCCTTAAAATAATAGTTTAAGGACATTTTGAAAAACTAAATTTGCAATTACTTCTTTTGTATACCTTTTTTTAAAAAAAAATCATATCTTAATTTGTACTGGTTTAGTTTAAATAATAGTAAGATAGGAACTTATTGACTCTTTCCCAGTAATGCTCTAAAACACAGGATAATATTAAAAATACTATATTTGAATAGAATTGCTTAAATAGCTTATCACACCATTGGGATCTCTGAAAAGTCCTCCGTGATTACCCTCCTTTCTCTCCCATAATTTTAATCAAACTGGATCTGACAACTGAATTACAGAATTAGATAGACTTACACTACCTACTGTAGACCATAATAGGGTAGTCTTTTCTGGGAAAGAATCTGCAGGAAATAAGAGCGGTAGATGGGAAGCTCACTCTCTGTGTGGTTTTATAATATCCAGATTTAGCAGGTAGGTAATCCACATCCACTCTTCTGAGAAGAAGTGAGTATACAGAGAATCCAGAGTTGCTTTACCACTGAGCGACATTCTCAGCCCTTTTTATTTTATTTGAGATGGGGACTTCCTAAGTTGCCTAGGCTGGCCTTGAACTTATGATCCTCCTGTCTCAGCCTTCTGAGCACCTGGGACTACAGGCATGTGCCACTGTGTCTGGCCTAACTTTTAATTTTGAGATAAATATAAACCAATAGGAAATTGCATAATAGTTCAAAGGATCTGTGTCCCCTTCACCCATTGGTGGCATTTAATACAGCTGTGTATATCTAAACAGCTAGTTGATGATCAGTTTTTGTACAATTGTATATAGATAATTTTATCCCACAAATAGATTTGTGTAACTACCACCACAATCAGTATACAACTATTCCATCATCACAGAAAGATCTCTCTCTTGTACATCCTTGTATTCATATCTTCTGTCTTATTTCCTATCCTGTCCTGGTGCTCTAGAAATCACTGGTCTATTTTCCATCCTTTATAGTTTAGTCTTTTAAAATGTGTGTATAAATGTGGTCATAGAATGTGTAATCTTTTGAGATCGGCTGTTTTGCTAACACGTAATGTATTTGAGGCCTATTCAGGTTGTGCATGTGCCAATAGTTCATTCCTTTTTATTGCTGGGTAGTGTTCCATTGTTTATGTACACTTGAATGTTTTTAGCCATTCACCCTTTGAGGGATATTTGGGTTGTTTTCAATATTTTGCTACTACTAATAAACTCATGTGAACATTTGTGTATAAATTTTATGACCATAAACTCTTCCTTTGTCCTTTTGACTTGCCCCTATTGTTCTTTGAGTACTTCTCTACTTTTTGTGCACCAAGATATTTCACGGTTTCAATATTTACTTTCCTTTTAATAACTCTGGAATCATCCTTTTCTCGAAGGAGCCCTGGTTCCTTTTTGTGGAAAAGTATATTTAGGCACCAAGAAGTACACGCTATCTATGCTTATTGCTGTTGATGTGTCATGGCTAGGGCTTCTAAGCAGAGCCAAAAGGTAGGTAGGTGTGTGTGTGTGTGTGTGTGAGAGAGAGAGAGAGAGAGAGAGAGAGAGAGAGACATAAAAGACATGTTTATGTCTATCTCCTTTTTAAAAGCTACATTTGTGTGTGTGTGTGTTGTGTGTGTGCGTGTGTGTGTGTGGTTGTGGAGATTAAACCCTGGGGTGCTTTACCCACTGAGTTACATTCTAGCCCTATCATCTGTCTATCTATCTATGAATGACAGAATTTTGCTTAGTTGCTAAGGGTCTTGCCAAGTTGCTGAAGCTGACCTTAAGCATGTGATCCTCTTGAATCAGCCTCCCAAGTAGTTGGGATTATAGGCATGCACCACCACCTCAGGCCAAAATATCTGAAATTTATACTGATATCTCTAATTCTAATCTAATTCCTAGAGGTTCATTCTAGTTCTGCCATTTTTGATATTTGACATTCTGTTATACAACATTTATAAAACTGACTTTCATTATCTTCATTTGCTTATCTACTTCTGGTCTTTTTTCCTACCACAGAGTATTAGTCTTTGCACTATTGACATTTTGGGATAGATTATTTTTTGTTAGGGAGGGCTATTCTATGCATTTTAGGATATTTAACAGGATGTTTACTCAATGGCACTTAAGACATTTATAGATGTCCCCTGTGAGTCAGAATTGCTCCTGATTGTGAGAACCACTGCTATGATCTGAGTTTTCACATGAGCCTGAAGAATTTCCTGTAAGCATTTCTCTTAATGTAAATCTGCTAGTGATGGATTTTGTTTCTGTTTACTTGAAAGTGTTTTTACTTTGCCTTTCTTTTAAAGCATATTTTGAGTGAATATAGAATTCTAGCCTGATATATTTTTCTTTCACCCTTTTTCTCCTCCATTCTTCTCCCTTTGCCTTCCAGTTTCATATAGACTTCTTGATACTATGCAATAGGTCACCAAGGTATGTTTTTTTCCCCCTTCTTCAGATAGGACAACTTCTCTACATTCACTGACCCATTACAAATCTGTTAAGGCTATCCAATGAATTTTTCACTTCAAGATATTGTACTTTTTAGTTCTAGATTTTCCATTTGGTTTTCTGCTGAGATTTTTCTGACCATGTTTTCCCTTAAATCCTAAACATGTAAAATAATTATTTTGTAGTCCTGATAATTTCAAATCTGGGTCATCATGGGTTTGGTTTCATATGACTGCTTTTAATTATATATTGTATGTTTGGGGAGAAATGGATTCTGTCATCTTCCTCTGAAAGAATATTGATTTTTTTTTTCTATTGTTGGCTATTAACTGGACTCAAAACTATCTCCAGTGTTGTGTGGCAATTGAAACTGTTCATGTCTTCAGCCATCTGTCGTTCAGGAACTGCAGAGAATATTGTAATTAAAAAGGAAATGAGGGCTGGGGTTGTGGCTTAGTGGTAGAGCATCTACCTTACACATGTGAGGCCCTGGGTTCGATCCTCAGCACCACATAAAGATAAATAAATAAAGGTATTGTGTCCATCTACAACTTAAAAAAAAAAAGGGAATGAGGAAAGGTCAGAGTACTTACTGAAAAATGAGATTAGAGGAGTGACCTTCGGGAGAGCCATTTTGATTGTGTGCTGGAAGTAAAAGCTAATAGGAGTGGGTGTGAGAGAGAATGGCAAGAGAGGATTTTGGTATAAGAAGTCTCAGCACAGGAGTTGGTAGTTTATAAGTATTTGAGATTATATGGGCCACATATGATTTTGCATTCTATTATTTTTCCCCTTACTTTTGTTTTTCTTCCTTTCCACCTCTTTTTTCTTTATAATCCTTTAAAAATATAAGTCCTATTCTTATTTCATAGGCCATAATAAAAACAGGCACAGGTCTAATCTGGCCCTTGGGCTATAGTTTGTTGACCCCTCTTTTAAAAAGGTAAGTTTTCTAAGGAGTTCTGCTCTTTAGGAAGCAAAGAAGAAGGGGAAGGTAGAGTTGGGTAATATTTTTTCTTTATATTAAGGTGGAGAAATAATAGTATTTTTACAAGTTGGAGGGATTTAACCACTAGAAAAGTGGAGAGAGGGGAGTCTGTACTGCCCCCCTGGTACTGAGGATTGAACCCAGGTGTACTTAACTGCTACCACATTCCCATCTCTTTTTTGTTGTTGTTGTTTATTAAGAAGGTATGATTGAGTTGCTTAGGGCCTCGTGAAATTTCTGAGGCTGACCTTGAACTCACAATCCTCCTGTCTCAGCCTCAAAAGCCACTGGGATTATAGGCATGCACCACCTCTCTCATGGTGAGGGAGGGAATTTTTAATTGGCAAAGATAGAATTGCTAGAACAGAGTACCTGAGTGATGAGAGGTGATATATGATATGGGGCCCAAGTGAAGGGGTACCTAAGAACATGGGTAGTAAATCCTGAAAAGTTTTAAAAAATTTTAAATGTTTTGGAGATTTTTAAAAAATTATTTGCATCTTTATCTAGTGCCCAGGATATAGAAACAGCAACTGTGGAGCATGATGTAGTGGCACATGACTATAATCCCAACAATTTGGGAGGCTGAGGCTTGAGGATTGAAAATTCGAGGCCACACTCAGCAATTTAGCAAAACCCTAAGGAACTTAGCAAGACACTGTCTCAAAATAAAAAATAATTTAAAAAGCGGGGAGGGTAGCGCTGGTGATGTGGCTCAAGGTTGCATTAAGCACCCTTTGGTTTAATCCCCAGTACCAAAAAAAAATTCATTGTGAACATAAATTGAAATACTTAAGAAGCTAAATTATAATGTGCTTTCTCCCTAAACAATGTTATTGGATAGTTCATTGTGTCTCGACATTAATTGTTTTCTTTTTTTTCCCCTTCAAAGTGTTATGTATGGACGCAAAGATCAATTTTGATTCTAATTCAGCCTATCGCCAAAAGAAAATCTTTGACCTTCGGGACTGGACCCAAGAAGATGAGAGGGACAAAGATGCAGCTAAGGCAGATCTCAACTATATTGGCCTTGATGGAAATATAGGCTGTCTAGGTATCATGAGTGTTTATGTTGGAGTTGGTCTTGCTAATCTTAATTTGTTTTCCCTGTGTTTGTTGCTTATACAAATCTTTTTTCCTCTTAATAGTAAACGGTGCTGGTTTGGCTATGGCCACAATGGATATAATAAAACTTCATGGAGGGACTCCAGCCAACTTTCTTGATGTTGGTGGTGGTGCCACGGTTCATCAAGTAACAGAGGCATTTAAGCTTATCACTTCAGATAAAAAGGTAAGCGCAGGGCTTATGTTTTAGAATTTGAATTGTGAGAAGTAACTTGATTAATTATTAGATGTTATCATTGTGATAGTTGGGCTAAAATTCGAAACACCTCAACAGTTTGGAAAAAGGAATTGAAATTAGTGCAATAAAAGAGAACTTTTGGCAAAGTTGCCCAGTTAGCTTTGTGATTTAGCAAACCAGGTGAAGAATTACTAGGTGATATTATAAGTGGTGATGATGATCTGGCATGGGAGCTTTCCATATAGGAGATAATTTCATAATTCCTATTTGTTTTCTTCTGTAACTCCCATTTAGTTGACCATGAAAGCCCAGGAATTATAAAAATATATAAAGCTACAAAGAAGAAAGTTTAAAAAAAAATCACCTTTGGTCTGGCATTGTAGCTCAGAGGTAGAGCATTTGCCTCGTACGTGTGAGGCACTGGGTTCAGTTCCCAGCACCACATATAAATAAGCAAATAAATAAAGGTCCATCAATAACTAAAAAAAATTTTTAAAAATCATCTTTAATTCTATCTAGAGATAACTTTAATTATTATTGATTTGATGTTTTCTTTAAGGCTTGTTAATAGATATGTATTTCACACACAAACACATCACATATTACTTTATAAACAACTATCATAAGGTATAATTCACATAGTACACAGTTTACACATTTGTATGTTTGTTTGTTTTTGTGGTACTGAGGATTTAACCCAGGATATTTTATCACTGAGGTACATCTCCAACCCTTTTTATTTTTTATTTTGAGACAAGATCTCACCGAGGCTGACCTTGAATTTGTGATCCTCCTTTCTCATCCTCCTAAGTCCCCGGGATTACCAGCATGTACCACCATGCGCAACTTGTATATATCTTTTAATACATATACACACACACGTATCTATATATACACACGCATATATATATATATATATATATATATATATATATAGAGAGAGAGAGAGAGAGAGAGAGAGAGAGTCTTTATTTTTATTACTAACATATCTTGAACACTTTTTGCAATTCACTGATGTATTTTCCAAAACTTATTTTGATGTCTGTATCTATCTTATAGATGTGCCATTATTTACAATTATGCATTTATAAACAATTATTGAAATAAAAGGGATATGAAGCATCATAATCTAGAAGACACATATATTGTTACCCATCAGATATTTGTTAAGGAGTATATCTATTGTGTGACCAGTGTGAATTTTGTAAGGAAAATTATATGCTAAAAGTGGGACAGATGTTTATGGAGAGAGTTGAAGTCATGAGGCAGACTGCTGAAAGAATTGCAGATGAATCATTGTTGATTCTTCAGGTAATGCTAGTGTTTCAGGGTTTATTCATTTTTAAACATTTTTGCTTTTACTTGAAGTTGGGATGGATAAAGTTGGCTAGAATTGTTCAAAGATGTAGTGTTTGAACTGGGTCAGTGAAGGAAATGGTGTGACAGTATTGATCAGGCAGGGGACAGTGTCATTGAATGACTGCTTTATAGGATACATGCTCTAGAGTGAAGAAAGGTCAGTTGAGAGTTGATAGACCAGGAGATTGGAAAGGTATTGAGGGGCTAGAGAAAGAATTTTAAGAAGAAAAGATTGCATTTGATGGAGTTAGAGGGGAAAGTCACTACAGGTGAAAGTGGAGGACATTAAGCAGAGAGTGAGATTTACACATTTGATATTCTGGAGATGTTCATTTTGGTCAAGTCTAGAATTAATCCCTGGTAGTATTTAGCAAGTAGAAATGGACTGAGGTAAAAGTGGCGTGGTAGAGATCCAATAACTTTTAAACTCAAGAGTATTAGATGATGTTTTATGATGAATATTGATGCTATCCAGAATGAAATGGGAAGGAATAAGAAAGGAGCCAAAGTCCACTACAAGTTCTAGTCTATTGGAAATTCTAGAGCTCATTTTCTGAAGGTCTAGAAATAATAGCGGCAAAGAAAAGGAAAGTGTAATATAGGTCATTGTGTCTCATTGATTTTCACAACATGACAATCATAGAAAATATTTCAGTGGGTCCTAGAGATTGGGAAGGTTGCTAATAGTAGAATCCTTTGGCCTAAATTCTTCAGCTGTCCCAGAGCCTTCCTAGCAGCCATAAAGTTGAGGGAAACAGTATTTTGACATATCTGTAACACATTTGTATTTACCACTTGAGAGGCTCAGTAATTGAACTAAACCTCTTTAAAAATTTTTTTGGGGAGGTGGTGGAGCAGAAGAACACTGATTCAGAAGTATCAGTGTGATGGTGAAAGAATGTTGACCCAAATAGGCCCCGAGGTTTAGAGCTTTAGTGTAGCCAAGAGTGGGCATACAGAAGTTGTGATTCTGATGGGCAGTGAAGAGATGATAGGTAATGGACTCTAATGGAGATCATGCATGTTGGTGAATGGTTATATTTAATAGGAAAAAGTAAGTGAAACTAGGGAGATACAGTAGAAAAGAGAATATAAACCAGGTGTTGAAATTACCCAAGAAAGTGGAAATAAGTTCTGGTGGGCAGTGGACTAAGAGCTAGAAGATGAAATAGTGGTTTTGTATGAAAATATTTCCATGGAATAAATTTTTATAAGGCACAGAACCTAGTATTTTCTTGTGAGGCAAGGACAAATACTTAGTCCTTTAAATTTTTTTTTTTGGGGGGGGGCGGGTATCAGGGATTGAATTCAGGGGCACTCAGCCACCAAGCCACATCCCCAGCCCTATTTTGTATTTTATTTAGAGATAGGGTCTTACTGAGTTGCTTATCACCTTGCTTTTGCTGAGGCTGACTTTGAATTCACGGTCTTCCTATCTCAGCCTCCTGAGCTGTTGGGAGTACAGGTGTGTGCCATTATGCCTGGCTCCTTTAAATTTTTAATCTACTAAAAACACTTTATTACAGGTACAGGCCATTCTGGTCAACATTTTTGGAGGAATCATGCGATGTGATGTCATTGCACAGGGTATTGTCATGGCAGTAAAAGATTTAGAAATTAAAATACCTGTTGTGGTACGGTTACAAGGTGAGTATTAATGATATTTGATAATTATTTTTCCTAATTGCTAAGAAATTCATAATTCCAAGGAGTTCAGTTCATTACAGTTTACAAATAGTCGTGTCTTTTAGGTGAAAGCATTATATAATATGAAATTCAAAAGCTATGTTTTAAAAACAATTTGTACATTGGGGCCAAAATGTTTATAGTTTTAATTAATGTAATTTATATATTTTTTATTGTGATTTATCTGGAATTCTGACTTGCCTTAATTACCATGAACATGGTGAGGCGAAATATTTTATGAGATAATTCCAGGCTTTTGTAGTGTTTTCTTTGATTTATGATAAATGATGGAAGTATTTGTATGTTGAAGTTTCATACTTATTACTTGTTGTAGCAGAGATTTTAAATGCTTTTGTGTATATATTTAAAACAATATTTATTTATATTTGCAAAAATCATTTTTAGGTACACGAGTTGATGATGCTAAGGCACTGATAGCAGACAGTGGACTTAAAATCCTTGCTTGTGATGACTTGGATGAAGCTGCTAGAATGGTAAATGGGCTTTGTTGATCCAAGGACAAATTTTTAGTGTGTAAAGAATTTATAAGCCCTTTGATTCTAAAATGGACCAGCTAATTGTTAATATTACTAATAATTATTGCTTCAGCTAAATATTATATAATGAACTGTTAAAATTATTCATATTGGTTAAAAATGGTAAGGCAAATTTTATTCAGGAGTATTACAATAAATACAGAGACTGATGAGATGAAGTTTTGCAGGGGGAAATAAAGATGGTGCTCAACTCCAGACACAACAAGAAAAAGTGAGAATTTATAACCAAGGAGTAGGGTGGGGGTCAGTAGATGGAAAATTACTTAAACATTATGGGTAAGGTTGAATTTTGGCTAAACTTACTCAGATTGGACAATGCAGAGTCAGACATGGAAGTCCAAAAGTCAGTGCCCAGCTAAAAAGGGTTTGGAGGAGCCTATGAGAATTTGCTGAAGAAGAGTATCTTTCTCAGAACCTCTTGTACCTATGATCCATCTTAGACAATAATTCATGCCCAGTATGATCTCATCTGTATTCTTTCCTACTTTTCCCCCTACCATGATAATTTTGAAGTAAGTCCCACATGTTTTATCATTTTATCTCGTATCTGTAAAAGATAAAATGTTGGTCATGATATAAAAGAATTACTGTTATTTGTTTTAAGGAGAATAATGGTATTAGGGTTATATTTTATTAAAAAGAATCTAGTCAGTATTGCAATTTCTCTGGTTATCTTATTTTTTTGTCCACATTCTTTGTCAGAATTGGATCAAAATAAGTCTCTCATTGCAGTTGGTTAATAAGTCATTACATTTCTTTCTTTCTTTTTTTTTTGGTGTTGGAGATTTAACCTAGGGGCATTTTACCACTGAGCCACATCCTCAGCCCTTTTTGTTTTTTATTTTTATTTTTTTAAATATTTATTTATTTAGTTTTAGGTGGACACAATATTTTATTTTTATGTGGTGCTAAGTATTGAACCCAGGGCCTCACGTGGGCTAGGCGAGCACTCTACCACTGAGCTACAACCCCAGCCCTTGTTTTTTATTTTGAGACAGAGTTTTAACTGAGTTGCTTAGGCTAGTCTTAAACTTGAGATCTCCCCTGTCTCAGCCTCCTGAGCTGCTGGGATTATAGGCCTGTGCTACCATGCCCAGCTACATTTCTTAATCTATAGGTCCTTCCCTCCTTTTAAAATTCTTCTCCAGCATACTTGTCAGAAAATTCATGTCGATGATCCTGTAGAGTTTTCCATAATCTCAATTTTAATGGTTGCATTCCTGGGTGTCATGCATTTAGCATGTTACTCTGCCTCCTGTATCTCCTCTAAACTGGTAGTTCAATCTATAATATTGGCCATGTTTGTATTAGACTAGGGGGAGTAGGAAACACTAATATTTTATAGTTGGTTGGTATTTTTCAATTCCATAGGAGGTATATAATGTATAATTATTTCTCTTTTAGTGGTGTTAGCAGCCACTGATGATCATACTTTAGAGCCAGTATTTTGTTTTTCGTTGCAAGGCAGTGATAGTCTAATTATCATTCTTCTTTTAGAATGTGCCTAAAAAGTTAAACTTTCTTAGATAAACTATTTGTTACCATGAAGTGCTTTTTTTTTTTTTTTAATAGAAAATTCATGATAATTACTTGAATCTTTGCCTTTATTGGCCAGGTTTCAAAATAGTGGTTTTGCTCCATTATATCATATAAAGGTGACCCAGCTCTTTTAGTTTTTACTTTTTGTATTTTGTTTGTTTTTTGTTTTCATGTGTTCATTTCCATTCTGGTGGCAGACCATGTTGTCATGGATTAATATATTACGTGAGGTTGATAAATTTCATTTATTGTTATTGATGCAAATTGTCTTTTTTTGGTCAGTGGGAACCTCTTCAGGTTGGTACCTCAGTCCTTCTAACTTACTCTCTGATATGCTTTCTGGTATGATGAGATGTTTCAGGTTCATCTTTGTATTATTGGTTCAGGCGTACAATGAGCCAGATGTAGAGACCGCAATTCAACTTAATGAGTATTCATGTCTACTTAGTTTAGTTATTGTTTCAGGGCTTTTTAAGCGTAGGAAACATTTTTTAAGGAGATAGATTCTCACGTAAGTTCATGCTAATATTTCCAAAGCAAATGTAGGAAGACAGGTTTTTGTCTGACATGTGTTTCTCCTATGCCATACCATAATCATTATTCAATTGCTTTGTCTCTCAGCACAGATATGACAGTTTTACAATAGAAATATCAAAGTACATTTTAATTTTATCTGAGGTTCTTTGTGTCTTTTAGGGTATTTCTCACAACTTTATTGGATTTTTAAATTCATGTGGAATAGTTCTCTGTGTTTTGCCTCAGCTTGATCTAGTTAATTTTATTTTTAAAGGTTGCATTAAAAAATAAAACCTTTGTTTTATGTAAATATTTACATGAATCCATGTTTAGAGAATTTAGCTTATTATATCTTTTCGTATTTTCCTTTTTTCACAGGTGTGTAACCATTGGTTTTTGTTTGTTTGTTTTTTTTTTTTTTGGTACCAGGGATTGAACCTAGGAGCACTTAAGCACTGAGCCACATCCCTAGCTCTTGAGACAGGGCTCTGCTAAGTCACTGAGGCTGATCTCAAAGTTGTGATCCTCCTGAGTTGCTGGGATTACAGGCATGAGCTGTCCAGCATTGTTTTTTAAAAATAGTTTTTGGTTTGTCCTGTAGTTATTTTTATACCTAAGGAAATTTTAAGTGTGTATATGCATGTTTGTGCATGTATGTATGTGTGGATGGGCATAGATGAGAAGCCCTTACCTTCAGTGAATGGTAGCACGTACTTTACTTTTGCTTACCAACAATATATCTTGGAGAAAATTTACAGCAAATACAGGGATGTTTCTAGATGGCACCTTTTGACTTTCTTCTATTTTCGTGGATATTTTATTGAGTCGTCTTTAGGGCTCTGTGGTTTAATCAATAATAGACTCTTGAGACTTGCTGAATTAATGTGTCACTTCACAAGAATAATAATGTTTTATGTCCTCTTTTGGGAAAGTTACCTATTACCAAATAAAATTTGGAATTTATATTCAATCCTGAGTTAAAATTAAAGATTATGAGTAAGAGAATGGTAGGGGGAAAGTGTTTCAGAAAGCTTGTTTTTTGACATCAAGGTATGAGATAAGTTGGAGAAGACACGAGGGGGATAGTAGGATTTTGTTTAGTATAATAATTAGATACAAAGTAAGGCAAAGGTAAGGAATAGATTACAATTTCTGAAAACATGTGTTTGCAATGAAATCCTGAATTTTGAAAAGCTAGGTGGCCTTGGAAAGAAAGGAAGAAAATCAGTAGGACCTTAATTAATTAGATAGACTACACGAGATGAAAATTGCACAGTTGATTTAAGTTGTAATTGCAGGTTTTTAGTGACTGGGGGCTTTTGTATTTTATTTTGTTTTTAAAAGTAACACTGAAATGTTTCTTACTTATAGAAGTCATGTCAATAATAAATGTGATGATGATGATAATAGCAACTGCTACCTGCTATCATTTTTTGAGTATTTATGTACATGCAATAGGTTATTTTTTTCTAGGATTTAATAGAAGTTTGGTGATAACATTTTCATTTTTATAGACTAGTAAGTTAACCTATTCAGAGTCATATGTCATAATCATCAGAATGGTGATTTGAATCCAAGATGTCTATCTTTAAACTCTTTTTCTTGCAATGTTGGGGATCAAATCCTTGTGCATGGTGGGCAAGTGTTCTACCACTGAGTATACGTAAGCCTCCAATCCTTTTTTTTTTTGTAAATACTCTGTGGGAAAGAGAGAAGCTAAATCATTTTTTGATTTAAATATGTTTAATTTGTGATATTTTATATGGAAATAGATAGATATTCTCAGACAGATTGTAGAGGGCACTGGTATTTTACATAGAAATTGCTAATTTACTGATAGAAAGTAAAATACTCCTTTATTTGAACTCCTACCCAATAAGCTAAGATTGTACACATTTTTCAAAATAAATTTTTATTTAGATGGGCTTTGAATTGTGGGGTATCCAACAAAGACACTGTTCTTTAAGATAAAATTTAAAAAGATATATGCATACTTAATTATCTACATATCTATCTTTATCAGAAAGTATTTATTTGCAGTATGGGTTATGGGGTGTATCAGACTTGACTGTCCTATTTTAGTGTCAGTTTCTTGTAAGAATGCAATGTGATTTATAAGAATGTCAGAATAACACTGATGTTTTAAATGGCAAAGATTGTGGATTAATTTACATTGAGCTATAGTTCTGAATTTACCCTTTTATGAAAATAGAGACAAAGATGCTCTGTTCTTTCTTTTCAGGTTGTAAAACTCTCTGAAATAGTGACCTTAGCCAAGCAAGCTCATGTGGATGTGAAATTTCAGTTGCCAATCTGATCTGAGATGCCAGCGGATGGGCTAAAGGTGTTAAAATGTGCTATAATGCTTAAAAATACTGTGTCCTATGTTATTGTTCTTTTTAGTATGTGGAGATTGTAATTGCCATGTAGGCACACAAAACTTTAAAAGCATTTGGTCTACATTTAATTCTGCTGTTCAGAATGGACTGCTTGCATAAAGAATGCATAATGCAGGTATCCAGAGTTTCTTTTGTTGGCAGCCATCTTTCTTCTACAGAATGTCACTTGGATTATGCCTGTTTATTGTTGTTGGATACAAAGTTCTTCCTGATAAGAGTCCTATAAAGAAAATAAATATGATGATAGAGCTTTATTCTTTAGCATTAAAATATATTATATCAAATAACTAGCTTCATTAGTAGAGCAGTATATTAAAACAATGTTTTATATAAGAAGTGTTTATCTTCAGCACCAAATACATAATAAATGTATCAATCACTATTTATAAACAGAGCTTTCAAACACTCCTCAGAATGTTGTTTTAAGTATTTCAGTGAAGTAACTTGTTAATTATTTGAACATTGTTTTAATTATTACAAAACAATGATGACTGCAAGTCTCTGTGATTCTGTGGTAAGAAACTTCTGTAGGTTTGTATCAAATAAAGGCATTTTTGCCAAGGACTTGGTAGATAAAATTTAAAATGTCAATTTAAGTTAATAAAAGTTTCTCAATGTGATTTGTATTAATGTTTGCTTTTGTTTTGGGGTTTTATTCTGTTTTTTTTTTTTTAATTTTTATTTGAAGCAAACATAGTAGAAGATAATATGTTCCTCATTTCATTAAATAGGTCTAAGGAACCAATTTGTAGATCATATACATGACATGACAGTACATATTATAAAGCTATCTGCAGAGTTCACTGGAATTCTGTTTAGGTGTATGCCATATGATACATCTTCTAAAGGAAACACTGTCCTTTGTGCCCATATGTATGTATAGTTTTTATTTAATGCATAAAACAGTGTTATTATTTAACTAATACTACAAAAGAGAACTTCGCCCTATTTTGTTGTTCTTAAAGTGTGATTGGATGTTTGTACTATGAGAGAGAGAGAGTATCACAGAGTGACTATGAGCACAAATTTTGGCTTCACTACTTACTAGATAAGAGTTTGGTTAGGTGTGGTAATATTAGTGTACCTTAGTTTCCTTAGCTTCTTTCTCACCAATAGAACTACTTATAGGGGAAGAGAGAGAGAATAGTGAGGGAGAAGAAACACATGAGATAATTCATATAGAGAAAACAAAATATGGCCAGGTGCTACATGCCTATAATCCCAGAGGCTCTGGAGGCTGAGGCAGGAGGATCCCAAGTTCAAAGCTAGCTTCAGCAACTTAGTGAGATTCTGTCTCAAAAATAAAAAAATAAAAAGGGTTGGGGATGTGGCTTAGTGTTAAGTGCCTCTGGGTTCATTCCCTGGTGCCATTCTGACTGGAGTGAGATGAAAGTTTCTTTATTTATCTACTGAAGGGCACAATTCAAAGCACATCTAAAAAAAAAAAAAAAAGGAAGAAAAAATATTCATTTAAGCCAAATATATGTTTGACAGTTCAGTTGAAATATATGAAATATATTGTAGGAATGGAAAGTTGAATGGTTTATGCCATAAACCATTTAAAATTATGATAAAGCTATAACTAAAAGTCTAGTCCTTTAGCCTTAATTTTTAAAAACGAATACCAAAGAATGCTGGCCAGTGATTATCCCAGAAAACACTGACATTTGTATTAGTTGGGGTTTAGTCAGGAACTAAGAGCAATTCTTGGTATTCAGAGAGGGTATAATACAGAGTATTGGTAACACTAGTGTTTTGGTTATCTACTCTTGAACAACTGTCCCAAAAGTTAGTGATTTATTTAATTTCCTGGGGATCATAAATTTGGGAGCAGTGTAGCTGAGATGGTTCTGGTACTGCAGTCATTTGAAGATGTTAACCTGGAGAACCCACTTCCAAAATGGCTCACTCACATGGCTGATGGTTAGAGGTCTTGGTTTCTTACCATCTGGGCCTTTCCACAGTGCTGCTTTGGTGTCTGTAACATGACAGCTGCCTTCTCCCCAGCATGTAATCCAAAGGGACAAAGGGTAAGCCATAGCGCCTTTTATGGTCTAACCTCACTCTCACTTATGTCACAGTTTATTACAAATGAATTTATAAGTCCAGCTCAAACAGGAAGAATTAAGCTCCACTTATTGAAGGGTGATGTCTAAAAGAAGTTGTAACATGTTTCAAAACCATCACAACTCATGTTGGCAAATTGAAGAAACAAATAGTAAATTCTGACTTAGCCTGGAAATTTTATAGCTACTGGAACTTATGTTTGAATCTAGGAACTTGGAATACTTCTGATGCTTGGGCAGTGCTGTAAAAACACAGTATTAGGGAAGGCAAGGAAGAATGTTTCAGGGACTGAGTGATCAATAGTGTCAAATAGCCAGATACTGTGATACATGCTTGTAATTCTAGGGACTGAGATGTGAGGATTATAAATTCAAGGACACCATAGCAATTTAGCAAGGCCTCAGGCAACTTAGACCTTGTCTCAAAAAGTGGGTGGTGGTGGTGGTGGTGGTGGTTTGCTGGGGATGTATCTCAGTGGTAAATTACCCCTGGGTTAAATCCCCACTACCCCCTCTCCAAAAAAAAAAAAAAAAGTGTCAAATATAGATGTCAAGATTAAGAGTAAAAAGTTTGTAGTGAAATTGAAACAAGGTGTAACTAATCTTGGTAAGAATGATTATACTGAAACAATAGGGGAGAAAGTGTTGCATAGAATGAAAACTTGAAGCAACTACCTGGTAGTCTTTATTTTTTTATTATTTGTTCTAATTATACATGACAGCAGAATGCATTTCAATTCATAGTACACAAATGGAGCACAATTTTTCATTTCTCTGATTATACACAGAGTCACACCATTCATGTCATCATACAAGTACCTAGGGTAATGATGTCCATCTCATTCTACCATCTTTCCTATCCCCATTCCTCCTCCCTTCCTCTCTCTCCCCTTTGCCCTATCCAAAGTTCTTCCATTTCTCCCATGCTCCCCCACTCACCCTGTTATGGATCAGCATCTACTTATCAGAGAAAACATTCAGCATTTGTGTTTTGGGGATTGGCTTACTTCACTTAGCATAATGTTCTCCAACTCCATCCATTTACCTGTAAATGCCATGATTGTATTCTCTTTTAATGCTGAGTAATATTCAATTGTGTATATATACTACATTTTCTTTATTCATCTACTGAAGGCATCTAGGTTGGTCCCACAATTTAGCTATTGTGAAATGTGCTGCTATAAACATTGATGTGGCTGCTTCACTATAGTATGCTGTCCTTTGGGCATAAATCGAGGAGTGAGATAGTTGGGTCAAATGGTGGTTCCATTCCAAGTTTTCTAAGGAATCTCCATACTGCTTTCCAGATTGGTTGCACCAATTTGCAGTTCCACCAGCAATTTAAGAGTGTGCCTTCCCCCCGCCCCCCACATCCTCGCCAACACTTATTGTTGTTTGTATTCTTGATAACTGCCATTCTGACTGGAGTGAATGAAATTTTATAGTAGCTTTGATTTGCATTTCTCTAATTGCTAGAGATGTTGCACATTTTTTCATATATTTGTTGATTGATTGAATATCATCATCTGAGAAGTATTTGTTCAGGTCCTTAGCTCATTTATTGATTGGGTTATTTGGTTTTTTTTTTGGTGTTTTTTGAGTTCTTTATATATTCTGGAGATTAGTGCTCTATCTGATGTGCGTGTGGTAAAGATTTGCTCCCATTCTGTAGGCTCTGTCTTCACCCCATTGGTTGTTTCTTTTGCTGAGAAGAAGCTTTTTAGTTTGAACTCATCCCATTTATTAATTCTTGATTTTATTTTTTACACTTTAAGAATCTTGTTAAGGAAGTCAGGTCCTAATCTAACATGACGAAGATTTGGGCCTACTTTTCCTTCTATTAGTTGCAGGGTCTCTGGTCTAATTCTTAGGTCCTTGATCCACTCTAAGTTGAGTTTTGGGCAGAGTAACAGGGGCTTAATTTCAGTTTGCTGTATATGGATTTCCAGTTATCCCAGCACCATTTGTTAAAGAGGTTATCTTTTCTCCAATATATGTTTTTGTCTAGTATGAGATAACTGTATTTATGTGTTTGTCTTTCTGACCTCTATTCTGTACCATTGTTCTACAAGTCTATTTTGGTGCCAATACCATGCTGTTTTTGTTACGATTGCTCTGTAGTATAGTATAGTTTAAGGTCTGATATAGTGATGCTACCTGCTTCACTCTTATTGCTAAGGATTGCTTTGGCTATTCTGGGTCTCTCATTTTTCCAGATGAATTTCATGATTGCTTTTTCTAAAAATTCTATGAGGAATGTCATTGGGAATTTGATTGGAATTGCATTAAATCTGTATAGTGCTTTTGATATATGGTCACTTTAACAATATTCTGCCTATTAAAGAACAAGGGAGATCTTTCCATCTTCTAAGGTCTTCTTTAATTTCTTTCTTTAGTGTTCTGTAGTTTTCACTGTAGAGGTCTTTCACCTTTTTTGTTAGGTTGATTTCCAAGTATTTTATTCTTGTTTTTTTGAGCTGGTAGCTCTTTATATACCTGCTTCCCCTCCCCATCCTCTAAACACATTCCTCTTCAGTATTCTTCAGTATTCTTTCTTTTTCTCCCTCCCTCCCTTCCTTCCTTTTTCCCCTTCTTCTTCCCTCCTTTCCTTCTCTTTTCCTCCCTTCTTTTTTAATTTCTTTCCTTCTTTCCTCTCTTTCTTTTATTTCCTTCCTTCCTTCCTTCCTTCCTTCCATCCATCCATCTATCCATCCATCCAGGAGCTCTTTACAACTAAGCTACATCCCCAGCCCTTTTTGTGTTTTTATTTTTAGACAGGGGTCACTCAGTTACCTAGGGCCTCACTAAGTTGCTGAAGCTGGCCTTAAATTTGTCATCTTCCTGCCTTAGCCTCTGGGATTACAGGTGTGCACCACCCCTTCCAGCTCACTCTTCAGTATTCTTTATGCAGGTTGATATTTTTTCCCTATTACATTATTTAGTTCAGATGAAAAAAAACCTACTTTACATTTGAATTCTCTGATTCAGCTATACAGACAACTATAACTTCAATAGAGACTGTAACCAGTTATGACCTTGAAAAGTTTTTAAAATTTTGTTGTGGATATTGAACCCAGGAACATACGTATGTATGCTAGGCAAGTGCTTGACTGCTGAGCTATACCTCCAGCCCTAACTTCAACTATTATATCGACTTAACAATTACAAAGCGTACGATACCAGGTTTGCTTGATTGTGATTTGTAGCAGGTACACATGTTAAGGGGGGAAGTAAGCAAAATCAGAAGAGGCAACCAAACTTCACAAGTCCAGCAGGACATTGAAGCTGTTAACATTATGGTGATTAGTTTCTGTCTGGCAAATAATTCTATTTAAAGAAATTTTAAAATCACAAGTGTAAATGTTAGGTGGTGGGGCAAGTGTAGAGTGCTGTAATCAGAATTATACATGCATCCTGTGGAAAGTAAAGGGGTGAGAAAATTCCTGTGGCAAAATCAATTTTCAGATTTCTGCAATTTAATGTGCAGTGGTTAAAGACAAGATTTAGATGTTTGCCAAATGAAGAAAAGTACAAGATAGGTAAATCAGTTTTTG